TCTCAGATTCTGTCTACCTATTTAACAATGGTATAACTTGGGCTACGGTGCATATTTTTGAGTGAAATTAATTGGGTTCGAGTTTTGGGGGACGCGTCAGAAAGCCGTGAGGAGTAAGATGGGCCTAAACCCTCCCAAAGCGAATAGTACTTACGATATGATAATGGCTCCGGCGCGAGGGGTAAGATGAGTCTAGGCCCTCCCAAAGCGGACAGTACGTATGATATGATAACGGCTCCGGCGAGAGGTCGGGTTGTTACAAAAAAACACGCATTTTTTGTAATGACCCAGGTCTCTATACCCAAACCGTTAGCGTGCATACTGTCTGCTTTGGGAGAGTCTAGGCCCATCTTACCCCTCAAGACTTTCTGACGCGTCCCCCAGGATTCGAACACAAGACCTCCATCATATGGAAGATTTAAGTTGAATCCTGATACCAATTGGACAACTTACCCAATTGGTATCAAGATTCAACTTAAGTCTCCCATATGATGGAGATCTTGGGTTCGAATCTTGGGGATCGCGTCAAAAAACCGTGAGGGGTAAGATGGGCATAAGCTCTCCCAAAACGGACAGTACGCAAGCTAACGGCTTGGGTATAGAGATCTGGGTCATTACACTAGCTCCATAGTTTTCACATGATAGACCACACATCACTGTATGTGCTCCTTTCGCTTGTGATTTCACCAATCACTCTAACTGCTTTGTCAAAATTGCTATCTACGCATAGGTAGTTGTTGTGCTATCTAGTTCATGCATCCTAGATGCTAACGGTGGTACCACTCTTTTTGATGAAAATATTGAATAAAGAGTGGCAATTAACTCAAATAAATCTATGGTTTGTTGTCCTGATTTTCCTATGATCGATCCACCAGCTGAGGAAACCACCTGAATTTTGACAATGGTGAGAATCCGGTGTAGAAGCATTTGATTACCTCTTGTGATTCCATGATTTGGACACTTTCGCATTAGCTCTTTAAATATGTTCCATGCATCGTGATCGCTCTCTCCATCTTTCTATCAAATAGTTTGAATTCTCAATCTGATTTTAACTACTTTCGCCGATAGGAAGAATTTGTTGCAGAATTTTCTGGTCAGTTCTTCCCATATAGTAATGCTTCCATGAGATTTGGCGTCTAACCACTCCAATGCAACATCTTTCAGTATTAATGAAAATAATCTCAACTTAATAGCATTTTCATTAACCCCCGGAGTATGGAAGTTCTGACAATTTTTGATAAATATGGATATGTGTGTTCGGATTTTCATGAGATAGCCCGTAGAATTGGATAGCGTTACTCATAAAATTGATCCACTCCACTGTTATCTAAAAATTATTTATCCTGAAATCTGGATACACAATATTGGAGCGCACAGGCGCGGCTATGGCCGTTAATAACATTTAAATTTGCAAGTCTCCTTCATTTATTTCCCCATCGCTCTTGCTATTGATCTGATGGCGTTGCTACTCTTGTGGCCGCTTGTCCAATTGGCTAAATAAGAATAGAAATATTTTGATGTTGTTGTTTTTGTTTGTGTTCATTGCGTCTTCGTCTAAAAGTACGTTCTAATTTCAAGTCAAACGGTTAAAGATCGTCGCCTTGGGTAAGGAGCATACAACGAAGACCTTTTTTTTTTGTAAATAAAAGAAAATAAACAAATCAACTTACAGTTAAGAATAAAATAAACTAAAACTAAAAGTAAATAATCCTCGACGATGGCGCCAAAATATTGTTGTTTTTTTTTATATCGCAAATGTATGATATCGTAACAAGCAGTATAGTGTACCTTTAAGTCTGAATATCGTTTCCACGAGAACTATACTTATGGTCTTAATCTAAATTTTCTATCTCTTATTTGAAAAAAAGCAAGTAAGCAATATACACGAGCTTCACCAAGTTTGGGGACTTCCTGAGTACCCTCAAATGATTGCTTTTATCTCCAACCTGCATTTCCAGAGTATTTACCCTCTTTTAGTTGCCCATATTGCACGTTGCAAGTAATTAAAGTCACAAATTGTATTTATTGTTTCATTTTCTATAAGTTAGTGCTTCATTTTAAATGTACCAATACAAAAATAGGCAATCTACTCCCATCAAGATTTAAAAGAGAGCAATCAAAACCTCCCATAATCTCTCAACATAAGCATTTCTCATCGTATAAAATAAACAGGAAGAAAGAGAAATGGCAAATATAGATAGTGAGAGGTGAAGAATAAAATCAACATTAAACTCTAATGAACGAATCATTTTTCTGGTTGTATAGCTGGGAATGGATGCTTTGAACTTAATATTGAGTACACGAATATTTATTTCAAGATAATAGAGCACAAACTATTATATTTCTCTTTAAGATAGGAAAAAGTGCTCTATGACACCGAAGACATTTTTTTCTTGTAATTTGCATAAGCTTTTCCCCCATAAAGTAATTTAACATTAATAAAAGAAATGCAATTTGACGAAAAATGGTGAAACTTACTTCACAACAGATTGGTTGAAGTTCTCAATAAGGAGATCCTCTATGTTTCTATTGTACACCTCTAACATGCTAACATTCAGCTCAAACGTCATGATACTTCTCGTCTCATTATAAGCTTCAAGAAGCTCCTCCAAAGTCCTGTAGTTTAGCCCTCTATTTTCTGGTGTTCCTTCCACAGTATATGTCTTACCAGTACCTGTTTGCCCATATGCTAATATGCACACATGGTAACCATCAAAGACAGGGGTCCTTATGGGTATAGTTTGAATAAAAAATGATTTATTATAAAAACACAACAAGTGATAATCCAATTTATACAACACCATTAAAGGAGTCTCTATCAACCACATAAACATACTTCTAAGTTCTTAAGGATCAGACTTCAATTATTTTTTCTAAGCATGAAGGTAAACTATTTGTAGTTCATTTTCCTTAGACAAGTCAAAGTCAGCAATTGCGGTGGACCCATTTGCAATCTCATCTTGTTTTAGTGGTCTACACCTACAAAAGACTCTAATATTTTCTTTGAAGTCAATTACTTCATTGTAGAATCGATTTATTTCTGAGCATTCTCTCAGGGTGTTTCTTTTTTTAGCACTTCACACTCTTCATGATACTACGAAAAACTATTTTATCCATGTGCTAGAAAAACTAATTTGCAAACTAATTTTTTCACACTCAATTTATAAGAA